TTTCACCAGTGTTCATCTGTTGTTACTACTTACTATATCAGTCTATCTGGTAATAAACCACCACTGTGTTTTTTGTATACAACTAATCTGTCTGGTTCTGTTCCGGTATAGTCTTCCCGAATCCTACCCCGGGGAGTTAACTGCTACACACTACATTTACTCCCCAACATATTGTAGTCGCCCTACAATTTTAACTTAGACACGTAACGTATTCCATGCCTACCATAACATGTTACACGTGGCTGCATGTAACAAAGAAAACAAGATGACTTGCTTCGATTTCATTTCAGTTTATGTTTTTGTTAATGAAGTACGCACACACGCACAGAGGCGATATTGTTAGATTTAGCTCCCATATTCTAATCACGTGCGGTATATCCACTTAAGTTATAAATTATTGTAATTTAGTGGCTTTTTTTCATTGTATTCAATATGAGCTCTTATTTATACAGCTTTTATTCAAACTATCGCGTGCCCCCGGGGTGAGTAATCATTCATTGGATGCTCGAGTCAACTTAACGATTTCCAATCACGTAAATACATAGATCACGCGACTTGGGTTACTCTGATCCCTCCGGCCTGACCTGTAACCTGGCGATTGTTATACTGTCAATTGTAAACCCCACCCCACCCCACCCCCACCCCGAGATTCAGTGGTCAGTTATTTGTATCTGTCTCGAGCTAAATCGGATAGCCCACCCCACCCCCTCCCACCTCGACGGTGTGTATGAGTAGCTCATAACAAAGTATGGTTGTATGGTCATGACATGTGGCGGGAAAGTGGCTGTTATCGCTGTTCTTGTTGTTGTTGTTATTGTTGTTGTTGTCTCAGAATTACATTTGTTAAAATGAAGTTGGCATAATATATTAGCAATAAACCACCGCCGATTTTGCGCAATACACTCCATATGTACACGAGCGTGATATACGCCATGGATTGCGCAATATATCTGAGCGCAGAGGTGATATTAGAGCTGGGGAGCTATACAAAGCTTTTTCTATGAAACTCATATTACCGAGTAAGAACGCGCACAGTGCGACAGGCTGCAACTTACTCGCCACTTTGTCAATAGCTTCTAGAGACCAGTTACGACAGGCACGGGCATTGTTATCGGGGTATCAGCTATGATATCATATTAGTGCATATGTAATGAGTTCTTAGAAGTGAGCTGCATTCAGTCACAGCTATACATATTTACTCATAAGCTCCACAGGTGACGCTGACGTTGCTACGTGCGTATCGAATACACTATACTGTGTCAAAATCCGTCGAGAATTCACTTTACAGGTTCGTGTCCTCTTTGTTGTTTTGGACCATCAAATTATTAAGAATATTATTTTATTATACACAAATATTAATTAGTGTGTTTGGATGGTGTTTGGGGTAAATCACATCAACGTATTAATTAGTGTGTCATGTACAGTAGTGTTACGGGAAATCACATCAACGTATTAATTAGTGTGTTTAGGGTAGTGTTTCGGGCAAATCACATCAACGTATTTTCACATGAATTATATCGATATTTTCGGATATATTTCCCAACAACCGCCCGTGTACTACAGTGCAATGTGGATCATACCATTTTGAAAATATGGGTTTCAGGGCGAGATACTAAGCGCATATTTAAACTGCTGTCTGGAATGCGCTTGCTCGTCAAGAACAGCGTATATTCAGTGAAACAATGAGTACATTTTTCTGAGAATATTTGCGTCACGTTTTGAGAGACCCTCTGTTAGTGGACCGACGCTCGCGTCATTGATTACTGGAAATACAGTATGCGATTGTAACACCATGGCAACTATCAAAACAATACATGTGACGTTTGTGTTTACGTATCAGGTCCCTTAGACTCGGTTCCAGTCTCTTGCAGCTGCACTACTGTTACTCTGCATATATAATGAGTTCTTAAAAGTGCGCCACCTTCAGTCACAGCTATACACCTTTACCCACATTATGTACAGGTGACGACTGACGCTGATGTTGCGGCGTGCGGACCACGGATATCCCGTATGTCAATACACTATACTGTGTCAAAATCCACCCAGAAGACTTCACTTCACAGGTTCGTGCCCTCATTGTTGTTTTGGACCATCAAATTATCCGGAATATTATTTTATTATACACAGCGAATTAATTAGTTTGTATAGGTAGTGTTTGGGGCGAATTACAACAACGTATTTTCACATGATGAATGATGTCGTGGTACTGTAAAAGGCTTAATTATTCACAGGGTTTTAATTTTGCTCATTTCGCTGACTGGAAAATGCGCTAAATTAAAACCCAGCGAATATGTAAAATTTAGCATAGAACACATTATCTAAATGATAAAACTGTAAATTTAAAACCCACTAAATATGTCTGAAATGGTAAATCAGCGATATTTAAACCCAGTGAAAATTAGTCATTTTACAGTATATATATTAATTACACTACAGTGCATTGTAGATCGTACCATTTTGAAAATATGAGTACGCTGGAAAACATAAACACCTTAGTTAAGGAACTGAAACAACGTCGCACCCATCACTGCTTTGCCGAGACCGCCATATACGATTTCTTTACCTCTATGGGGTTCTTCAAGCGCAAATTTAAACTGCTGTCGGGAATGCGCATGCTCGTCAATAACAGTGTATGTTCAGTGAAAGAATGAGTACATTTTTCTGAGAATAATTGCGTCACGTTTTAAGTCACTCTGTGTTAGTGGAACGATGCTCGCGTCATTGATTACGGGAAATACAGAATGTGATTTTAACACCATGACAACTATCGATAAAATACATGTGACGTTTGTGTTTTAAAGGGCGGTAGTTGTCGCGCTCGTATGCGCGAGATATAGGTCTCATATAAACAAAGATGGCGATTTTCAGTGTATGTTCAGTGAAAGAATGAGAACATTTTTCTGAGAATACTTGCGTCACGTTTTGAGTGATTCTGTGTTAGTGGAACAACGCTCGCGTCATTGATTACGGGAAATACAGAGTGATTTTAATACCATGGCAACTATCGATAAAATAACCTGAACATTCTGTATTTGTACAAACAAATGTTCACTCAATATCGGTATGTGTGTTAGGTCCCCTAGACTCTGCTCCAGTCGCTTGCAGCTGCGACACTGTGACTTCTGACGATTTTGTTCCCGTGTATAATAACAAAATACCGTTGAGGGCAGTATACCAAATACGAACGGCAAACAATATACGCGTGGGACAGAGACTGGAAATCGAGTCTAAACTTCCCTGTGTCAGGCAAATCTATGTACCATTTTTTAAATAAATACAATATCAAATGCCTTAAATGAGACAATGAAATATTCACATACCCTTAGACCCTTAGGTGTAGACAAATAAGATTTTAACATTAATAATATTAATTGTTAATTAAATGTGTGACCTTATGTGTGTTTTGATTATTCTTTCAGTTTAGTTACAATAAATATAGAATACGCACGCACACGTTATGTAATACAATTTTTATTGCGAGGGAGTTAAAATTGTCTGCCATCGTTATATTATATCAGTCTCTATGTAATTTGAAATTCAGTCCTACCACAGTATTAATAACAAGGGATACTTTGTACGACGATTCGAAAATGTTCCTTATAACAAAATCACTGTGTTATGTTTCATTTTATCTCGCGACAATGATGGTTTGTCCTGTTGTATTTGAGTAACCATATGGCATCGAACCAACTCTAGTAAAATACCGGTCGATGGTTATAAAAATATTAATTGGAATATTATTTGCAACCAATGATATAATTTCTAATTCTACTTTTCAGATTGTTATTATTTTTGCAGTTGAAATATGAATACAAGGCAGCAACCATCAATTGATGCTTCAGTTTGCAGAGTGGCTTTAACTGGAAGGGGAACAAAACGGAAAATGAATCATTCGCAACATGGACCACAGACTGCACTGCGTTCTGCTTTGCCACGTAGGAATGATACCAGTAGGCGCCACAATAACATAGGAAGACATAAACAACAGCCGATGAAAGAAAACACTACACATGATTTAGAAAAGTTGCTTCTAGAAGAACCAAAGGACATTGTGATATCGTTAACCCAGGATACAAAGCGTCTGCAAAACATGTTAAAGGATACCGGGAAGACAACCCAGGACTTATTTTTACTACTACAAGTACTTGGGAAAGCAAGCAGATGTACATTTGCCCCACAAAATCAGATACATTTACTAAACACAATTATTGAATCTAGATTATTTACGTTCATTTCCCGAGAACTTTCAACTATATACATATATGTTATGAGAGGCATATTTGACAACAAATCAGAAGCTATGATCAGACATATTCTAACACTCTTAAAGGCAATCCTAAACATCATGCCAACAAAGTTCTTGGAAATAGCTTCTGCAGTCGATCTTCTTAATGTAATTGCAAAATCTACATCGACAAGTGAATCAGGTGTAGTGATAGATCCGGTTGTAATTCAGGAGATCCACGCTTTGCAAGAAGACAGAAGCCAGGTGATGGCAGATGTCCGAATAGGTCAAACACAACCAGAGAGTGAGCAACTGTCTGAGGATCATCAATCATGGCACCCACCAGAAAATTTCAGATCCATTTCAGTGTTTCCCACATCCAGTGACATAAGGGCCAATGTCGAACCATTTTTACGGCCAAATATTGCCATTGGACCATTCCGAGACACGGAACATTATCTAGATGTTCATTTTCGTCTTCTGCGGGAAGATTTTATTCAACCCTTGAGAAAGGGAATCCAGGAATATCTTTCTCAACAGTCACACCCCAGAAAAAAACACAGTAGGCTGACCGATATTCGAGTTTATGAAGAGGTGTTCATATTAAGTCCTATGTGTAGGGACTTTGACGGGATATGTCATATGGTTCAGTTCCACAATGGATGCCTCAAGCGTATAAGATGGAAAAGTAGCAAACGTTTAATATATGGTTCATTAGTATGTCTTTCTAAAGACAACTTCAACACTGCACACTTTGCTACAGTAGCGCACAGAGAACCTAAGCAACTTGAATCGGGATTTTTAGCCTTGAAGTTTCATTCACTAGAAGATGTTATTTACGAACTCCCTGACCAGCCTTATAAAATGGTAGAATCAAACGCTTACTTTGAATCATACAGATATGTTCTTGAAGGCCTTCAAGATTTGAATACCAATTCCCTGCCCTTCAGAGAATATCTTGTTGAGTGTGAGAAAGAGGTGAGAATTCCAGCATATATCAACTCTGAAGATGTAACATATACATTATGTAATGATAGTGTAACTAAATCTCAAAGTATCTCTGCACCTGTTTTGGACACTAGCTCTTGGCCAACATCAAGAGAATTAGGTCTCGATGAATCTCAACTGCAGGCTCTAAAAACCGCCCTTACCAAGGAGCTTGCAATAATTCAAGGGCCACCTGGTACAGGGAAAACTTACATTGGCCTTGAAATTGTCAAGATACTACTTGACAATCATAAAGTGTGGTCTGGTACAATGAATCCGCCAGCTCCATCACCAATACTCATAGTATGCTATACAAACCACGCCCTTGACCAATTTTTAGAAGGTATCAACAAATTCCAAGGAACTGAAATTGTCCGTGTTGGAGGCCGAAGCAAAAGTGAAGCATTAGAAAAGTCTTTGATCTCTGAGAAAAGAAAAAAGGGAGGAGTTGTTGGTCGTTTAATTTTAAGAGAGTTGAAGGAATATCAGGAGCGCATTCTGACGTGGACTGAAAAACACAGATTTAATCCATCCTGCATGATTTATTGTCAGAATTTGTGTGTACCCCAACAACACCGACATAGCCTTCTGACGGTAAAACCTGGAAAGTCCAGATGGCAACTGAATGATGAGCAGTCCATTTTGGATTATTGGTTAATGGAGAAAATAAGAGACGCAACAAATAGCAAGCAAATGCACATGGAATATCCAAACTCTGATTCTACAAAACTTGCTGCAGCAATAGAAAATGACGATGATGAAGATGATAATAGAATTCTTGTTGAGTTTGAAACAGACTTCCTTGCCGACCAGAGATATCTAGAGGGCGATTGGACACAAGACCTAATCATGGGGCAGCAACATACTGATACCAATGACTCTACATATAAGTTTGTAGAAAGACAGAGAAGAAACAACGATTATAAACAATAT